ATAAGTATATTAGGTTTTGCTGATCCTGCCATGTTCATAGTATATAAGTATATTAAGTTTTAGGAGGATATTAGGAGTTCATAAGTATATTAGGTTTTACTACTAAGCTTTCATTCTCATTTCAAGGGAAATGCAGGCTGTCTGAGGGTCTCCCACCCCACTTTCTCTACTACTAACCTCTTGAGAGGACTTTTGACTAGCTGTGTAATATTTCGAGTGCCCCCTTAGTGCGCAGACACTTATGCACTTACAGACATTCATGCCTTTTGCACTTACAGACATTCATGCCAGCTAGTGATTTTGGCCTGGGATTCGAACTGGACCCATCCGTATGGCAGTCAGCGTCACTAACCACTGTACCAGCTGGTCAGCCACATAGCAGAATAGTAGGCAGTAGTGTAATCGTGCAGTTTCCTGCTGTTCAGTTGGACTGATGGAAAAGCATGCAAGTCATTATAGACAGTTGATTGTTTACATTATTTTATGTCTGTTCAGAAATCATTTGCATTTAGTGTTATCAAGTGTCTTTGTATTGTGACTGATGGAATATGTTTGAATTTAATTTCTGTAAATTTTTATCCTGGTTATGAAATGTAAAAGTAATCGAAAAGCATAGCAATAATTTTTGGACTATTAAGTTTATAATGCACATTGTAAATATCTGTGCTTGCTTAAAAGCTTATTTAAGTAATTTTAAATTTTTTCAGTGTTTTTAGTGGCATAAATGTTTAAGGCATGCCTTCTTCCCTTTGAGTATTATATTCTTTATTCCTAGATTTTGTAAGGGAGGAAAAATCTGGATAATCTATCATTCTGGATTAAAAAAAGTGTGCTACTGCTGAACGGATCTTTTCAAACATATTTGAAATCATATACTTTGTAATGAATGGATATTAATTTGATTAAAGAATCTTTAAAAATGAAGTTTTGCTAATGATAGCAGATGTAGTATTTGGCTTTTTAGATCATCTAATGAATATGTTAAGTGATAAATCTGGCAAAAATACAGACTCAAGTTTTGGTATTGCATGCAAAACATTAATTGATATATAACAAGAAGTGAATGATGTATATGGTACTTCATTGTGCATGTCTTTCATCACAGAACACTAAGTATTGATTCATACAGTGATGGTGTTACATACAGAAATGGCACATTACATATCTTTTTGCTGTCTCTTAGTGCCATTACAGTTGCAGCCGCTAATGTTGTAGAGTCAATAATAGTTCATGTCCATCAGTATCTGAGTAGGTAAGTTCACTGAATACCATTATGAAATCATTTTCTATCAAATGGTAGGTTTTTCATGATTTTTTTCCCATATGTAACATGAATACAAGACATTTTCCACTGAAAAGTTGTCCCTTTTCTTGGCCTGACTTTTCTTAGATGTTTTAATAAGTAGTTAATTAACCAGTAATAGCTTGAGCAATGACTGCTTAGCAGAAATACTTTTAGGAACAATTCTACCATCTAGAATCAACACACCATCCAGCGAAAAAACAGGCTTTATGAGGAACAAATTGCTCTGCGGCTTGCTGTTTCACACAACAGCATAAAGAATCATATACAATAATTAAGTGTAGACAAGTTGTCATAATACATATTGACATTCAGAGCCGGCACTAAGCATTTTGCCCCCCCCAGGGGAAATCTTTGTGGGATCTAAATTTTTCTGCTTGACACTTTTCTAAAAATTTAGTCATTTCATGATTCTGCAGTATAATTCCTTTTCTAGATTGTAAACATTTTCCTGCCCAGTGCCACCACACCAGCTCTGTTGACATTAATGGTTGCTGTTATATTAATGTGTTTGATATGGCTGTATGATCACTTTTAGCTATGTAAAGCAGATGTCTGTCATATATTTGTTCGTGTATTTGAGATTATTGTGAGTATATTGTAAGATCATGTCTCCTAAGCTCACCAAAAACCATAACTGAGAACTGATTGATTTCCTTTAGCACAAATTCTGAAGCTTTGGTTTGAAAACTTATTGACTTATAATTCTACTTCAAAACTTGAAACTTGGTCATGCTTCTATTGTGTTCATAATAGAAGTGCATAGTAGATCCATTTTTAAATAAAAAATTTTAGTGCAGTCAAATTTAATGCTTCATACCAGCTGTGCATTATTTCCTGTTTTACCATTTTCCAGTACATGTGCATAGGATATGCATATATGCTTTGTTGTTAATCATTACATTTGTATTCCTGTGATCATTTTGGTTCAGTTGGATGCATCCTTCATGGTATTGTACTTTTCAGATTTAATGTTGCAAATCAGGAAAGAATCAAAATTTAAAAGATATATGAAAAATACAGTGTCTTCTGGTAGAATAAAACAATAATGAAAAGATACTCAGCCAGACTAAACATAAAATATAAAAACCTCTCTTGAGAAAGAAGTACATAAAACACTTTAGCAGTAGCTTTTAATGCCTTTGGTAAATGTTAATTTATTTATTTATGTATGTTAATTAACAAACTTTACATAACCATTTAGCATATCTATCGTTGGTCACTTTGAAAAATAAATAACTATTTGGCTGCTTGCTAGACACTCTGTTTTTCAAGTTCAAGGTTAATATTTTTTCTTCTCCTGTCTGACCTAAACAGTAACTAAATCCCTAAGACACATTTATTTAAAGTGGAATGTTGCTATATTTGTTCTCTTTTGTTGGCATAACAATGGCAAGAGAGAAAGAATTAGATTAGGAAGAAATTCAGCTGAATTAACATAAGATTGCAGTCTTCCGTAACAAATTTGTTCCAGCTTGCTATATTTGCAGACCATTATTATTACAGCTGTTTTATCAAAATTAAAGTTTGAATTTTCATTAATACCAAAAAGATTAATCATGAAACTGTAACAGGATCTTCAAAGCAAAAGCATATTTGGTACTTGCTATTTGTAACAATGTGTTGGTGCATTTCAGATGTAAAGGGCCATTCACACATTATCTGAGCTAGTGATTTTGGTTTGGTTTACTTAATTACAGCAAAGCACTCGAGGGTTATCTGACTAAGGGGAGGAATGCCTTTGTGGGCAGGATTTTCAAAGGGAAACTGGCACATATACATGTAAACGGCCATACAGACTGGGGTTTATCTGAGCTAACGGGGATAACTGACTTAGCCGACCTATCTCCAAAACCAGTTTTTCCCCATAGGGCAGCGAGCTGAAAAATCTGAACTGCGTGCATAATGGAGTTAGCCCACACATGGAACTGACTCCGTTAGCTCAGATAAACCCCAGTCTGAACAGCCCTTTACACATGGGGAAAAACCTCAAAAATGTAACCAGCCCATTTGCTGGGATTCAAACCCAGGACCGAACTACCAGTATTCAGTGACTTTACCGCTCAGCCGCTGGTGGGCCTCTTAGCTAACGGAGTTTGTTCCATGTGTCAACTAGCTCCTCTATACATGGAGTTCTGCTATGGGGGAAAACTTGTTTTGGAGCTGAGCAAGATGACTCTGCTACCTCAAGTAAACCCCAGCATGAACAGCCCCTAAGCGATTTCAAGATTAGCAAAAGAGCAACCTTATTTTGGTATAAAATTTGAATGTTGCAGAAGAGGAAATTTTTTTAATTAATGGAATTTGTGGAGAAGTGATAATATAACAGCTTTTCCATTGCGATGACAGTCAGCCATCAGTTAATGACGGTGAAGTCTGCAGTATGATTTTAAAACCAGAAAAAACGCTATAGATAGTGACCAAAATCATAAAGCTTAGCGAACATTTTCGATGTAGCAATTACATTACTTGAACAGTGGAACTTTGTAACTGAACAAGAAATTATACCTATCCGAAATATTAAAGAGTGTTAAATTATAAAGTTAAGAGTACAACACATACACCCTCAAAAAAAAGAAAAAGAAAAGAAAAGGTTTAACAACTTAACGTTGAAAGAAATGTTCAATAAAACAAACAAGTATTGAGCCTTTTTTTTTTTTTTTTTTTATTTATTTACCTCATTACCCCAAAGTCATAAATCCGTCATTATTTTATAGAGAAGAATGTAGAAATTATAAAATTAACAGTTCCATGTATAGAACTGTTAATTTTATAATTTCTACATATCTTACCGTTTTTAACTGGATATCTAAAATCAGAAAATTTCTGTAATTTTTGAAGTCCTGATGATTCCAGATTTCAGATATTGTACTGAGATAATATGTATAAATTTCATAAATGTTAAAAATCATATTTGAATTAGATCTAATCTCATACTTTAAGTGGCTGATTCCTAAGCCAGAATTATAAATAATAAATCTTACCACAATTTTTCAGATTGATGAAGACAAAAGTCTGCTTTGTAAATAGTTTTTTTATGAAGAAAAATATTGATGTTAGTTTATCACTTAATAAATAAATATATAAAACTTGTAACTTTATCTCCTGTCCTCCAGATACCATCTTTTCTTCTTCTGTGGCTTGACAGCTCTGTGTGGGCCCTGGCCTTCTCCAGGCATCTCGCTGTTCTTTTGGCAACTGTTTTCTAGTTTTTAACTTTAAAAAATATTAAGATTTTTTTTCAACACAATAAATCTATCTTAGCGGTGGTCTGCCCTGAGGTCCATTTCCCAGGGGCTTTGCCAGACACATTTTCTTGTAGCAACTATCTTCATTCATTCTAGCCAGATGGCCAAGCCATTTAAGTCTCTGTAATTTGACAAATTTTACAATGCATCTTTTATTTATTTGGAAGGTTAGCAGAATGCCATTTATGTTTTCAAACTTCAGAAGATTGAAATTTTCTGTTTTGACTCCTCCCCCATTATTAGTATACTATGTTGGTTTTTTACATATAGACTTTCTGTGTTCTGATTTGTTGATAATGCAAAATGCATGTAAAACTGTCTATAAATCAGTAAGAATTACCTGCTTTTAATTCAATGACTATACAACGCATTCAAAATAAGTAAATGCACCCTTTTGTGAAAATGTTGAAATGTAAATAATTCACTAATATATATTTTCTAAATTATAGGCGACCACAACCGCTCATTCCACCTCGGATACCAGACAGACCTCAGATGGGACGTCTTATTTGAATACCATGTATATAAATGAAAGATCTGAATTATTAGACATCATTCCTGCCACTGATCTCTATCGTGTATAAAGAAATAGTTTTGTGAAAGAAATGAATGCCTGTTTTATTATTGTTTTATTATTTTAAAAATTGTGCATTTTTTCCCCTTATGCTATTTTGTCAGCAAACATTTTTCCTGCTTGTTTTTCTCGTGTCCCATTTCTGGTTTTCTGAAGATGACAACGAAATTCCTGCCATTTCAGGCTTTTACTTTCCTTTTGCAAGTATTTATGATAAGAACATCAAAAATCATGCCTCTCATGTTACAAAAGATTTCTCCCCCCCCCCAAAAAAATACCCTTAAAAATATAAAGCAGTTCATAATTTAAAATTATATTATGTGCTTACCAAACTGTCTTCACTCACTCCATATTAAATGTCTTCTGCTTCTTGGTCATCAAATATTTATTAGTGAGAGAACACTCTCATTGTTTATTTTGCACTCAAAAATTAAAAAATAAAATTCAATTATTTTAAATAATCCAAAATAAATTGTGTGTTTGAAAAGGGGTCAAAGAAAAAGATGGCTTTTTGTGATGAATGAAGACTTCTCTTACAGCTGGAAAAGGAGAACATACACTGAATTTGAATAGCATAAAAGGAAACACCATTTCTCTAGTCCGTATATAGTTCAACGTTCAAGATGAAATGCTCGTTAAAAAAATTATTCATTAAAATAAAGAATTTGTGTGACTAGAAACATGTGGTGGTAGCATCGCTTAATGAATTTCAATGAATTTTTTTAATATTAAATTTTTTAACTTAGATATATCCTTGATTCTTAATTTTCGTTTTCATTAAAGCTATAGAATTCTCAAAATAATTTATATACTATTATTCTTTAGAAATTGATCGGCTCATATCACAGGTTAATATTGAAATCTGAATTTTAATCAAGTTTCAGAAAAATATATATCACAAAAAAAATCACATATATCATCACCATGTGACACTAATGCTGTATGCGCATTGTCTGAATATAAAGTTTAAGGCACAGTGAGATATTCATACTTCATTCATATATATATATCATAGTCATGTGACTTTCGATCACGTTTTTGTACTTAACTTTGACACTGAGTAGAAAACCTGAAATGGAGCATAAACTATTTTTCAATCAAAATATTGTCTTTACGGGAGGTCAGTGGCCAAATTCATTATAGAAGCACTGCTGGAAAGTGCATCACGCAATGATATGTTTAATGTAAGTAATATTGTACAAATGACTACAGTTTGAATATTTGTTTAGTTTTTGTTTTAAAAAATGTAAATATACAGTGTGTGATTTATTTTTAAATGTTATTGTTTTATTTACATATTTATGATGTTTTGTTTTTAGCATTATTGAGTGAATTTCTTTGTTAGTCTTATTCTAAACTTAAATAAGTTGTTTTGTGCGTGTGAAACACAGCATTTCCATTTCGTAATTACATGAGATTTATCAGTTGAACAACAGGCGAAAGATGTAATGCCTTAATGTAGCATTTATTTATTATTCTTCAAATAAATATATTCTTATTTGATGCTTTCATTTATATCCATATTATGATGCTATAATTTTTATTTATGAGAACTTATTGGAAAAATCATATCCAAGTCCATGAAATGGTTCTACACCCTTAAAAGAATTAAAGCAGTTTTTTTATGTATATGAGTAATTCTTAACAATTCTTACAGGAGTGTTGTCACTGCTATAAATAAGTGATATCCAATCTTAAACCATCATGCGACCATCCGATTCTGTTGGTGGGGCCTATACAATGTAATTGGAAAATGAATGAGAGAATTAATAAATGAATCAGTACCTTTCACTTTTGCAGAATTTGCAGAACTTTTCTACATTTCATTGGTACTTATATGTCATCACTTTTTTTCTTATCACTTTTATTATCAGTTTCTCCAACTCTTTTAACACTTTCTATAACATTAAATTCAGTTTTTATATGTGTTGTCTCAGTATTGTCAGTTGATGCATATTCTAAAAATGAACCATGATAACTTCTTCTGCTGATTTTCTGAAACATTAGCTAAAACTTACAATTTTTTTAGGCTTTAAGCCACATATTCAGAAGTAGTTTTTAATCGTGTTGTCTCAGTATTATCAGTTGACGCATATTCTAAAAATGAATCATGATAACTTCTTCCGCTGATTTTCTGAAACATTAGCTATAGCTTACAATTCCTTTAAGCTACATATTCAGAAGTAGTTTTTAATCGTGTTTTAAGAGATGTGTGGCCTTTATCAAAGATATTGATTCAATTATATTTTTCAAAATGCTTACATGTTCATAAGGTTCAATTCTGTTTATCATTTTCTGAACATTTGTTATGTAATGACATTTGAAAGCTTTTATAGTATCTGGCTTATAGTACTTATGGCTTAGGTGGCTTTTATAGTACTGAAATGCTAGAAGTTTTATATGGAAGAAAAGTGACGAATATTTTTTGGAAAGAGATCAGAAGTGTGTGCGCACTTATAATATTTCATTTTTAGCTTATAAACCCATTTTTAAAAAGTCTGATGTGAAGTCCACATGACTTTCTTGTACGGCCTATTAAATTATACACATTTTTTGCTGTACTTCATGTAAACGTATTTCCTCAATTTATTCTTAGTTAACCGATCGACAAGGCAAACTGCAAATGACATCAGAAAGTAGTTTTGAAATTAAATACACTGGTTAATTTTTGGCGTATGGGAGTCAGAAATCACAAGGGCAGACGAAGGTCCTGACCGAAGAGCATCTGGGATGAGGAATAGCTGGTAGTCTAATAGACAGCACTGCGATAGGCCACTGAGAGATATACTTCTGGTCCCAGTCCAATTGATTTCTCTAAACCATCAGCGAGAAGGTATTAAGGATGGTTGGACTAAACCTCTCTACCATGCTGTCTGACTGGGGAATTTAAAGGTGTCGTTTGATTTTTGTCGTCGCCTAGTAGCTCGCGTAGTTCATTAATTACAGCCGAGATAAAATCCCTTCCTTCACCAGAATGTAACTGAAGAGTGACCTGGAACTACTGGAAACCATTAATTACCTGTAAATAACCAAACCTGGAAATCATTAATTACCTGTGCTTACCATAACAGCCTAATGATCAGGGATAGGATTCGCTGCCACTTTATGAAAGTAATCAATAACAACGATGATGTGTTGGTTGTCATCAGCAGTTCGTGGTAGAGTTCCCAGGATGTCAAAGGCCGATGCATTCAAAAGTCGCTCTTGCATTGTAACGCTGTAGTTCCCTCGGTTGTCTTTCTTCAGTCCTTTCCAACCTGCACAACCATCGCAAAATTGGCACCAATTTTACCTTGAACTGCTAAAGTCTTTGTCCAGTAGTAAATTCTGTCTTTTCTTAGTCATCGGTGTTTATCTCTACCTGCCAATATCCACTCTTTAAATTAAGCTTCGAAAACCACTTGCTTCCAGAATGTCGTCATTTTTAGGAAGAGGATAGTTGTATTTCTTCATGACTTCGTTCAGCCGACGATAGTCAACACAAAATCTAATCGAATCATTCAGCTTTCGGATTAAGGCGATACTAGAGACCCATGGACGTTCTGAAGACTCAATAGCGTCGCTTTCTCGCATATTCTTTAGAAGTTTTCTTGCATGTTCCTGTTTAGCAATCGGTAGACGTTCTAGATGCTGCTTGATTGGTGGATGATCTCCTGTATCAATTATGAGTCAGATTGCTTCTATCTACGTCAGAAGATGAACGGGAGAAAACATTTTCAGATTCTTGAAGAGCATGCTCTGCGGCGCTTCTCTCTCTCTTCGTCGCCTAGTTTCACATTCTGCAATAACCCTGATGTTACGCTTTCAAAAGACACAGACTGTGGAGAACTCTTGGCTCGTTTAACGCAAGCCACTGGAGTACGTGCTGCAAGCACTTCGCCTTTCCTAAAGACTTAAAGTCCAAGGAAAAATTATTTCTTTAGAATTTCTAATCCTAGTTTGCAAGGGTCTGTAATATTTGCTACTTATGACGATGGTAGGCGGCATTCCTAAATGTGATGTTAACGTTTAATTTTCCATCGATGTCCATTTTATCCCCAGAAGCAGTCTAGAGGGTAATGCTTCTCTTTTCATCGTCTAGTTTCGCATTCTGCAATAACCCTGATGTTACGCTTTCAAAAGACACAGACTGTGGAGAACTCTTGGCTCGTTTAACGCAAGCCACTGGAGTACGTGCTGCAAGCACTTCGCCTTTCCTAATGACTTAAGTCCAAGGAAAAATTGTTCTTTAGAAAGTCTAATCCGAGTTTGCAAGGGTCTGTAATATTTGCTACTTATGACGATGGTAGGCGGCATTCCTAAATGTGATCTTAACGTTTAATTTTCCATCGATGTCCATTTTATCCCCAGAAGCAGTCTAGAGGCGGCATCCAGTTGAATTTACTTTCCAGGTGTTGAGCCAAATCTTTTCGGATGATGGTAACATTGTCTCCTGTATCGATGATCATATTGCAAGGAACTCAGTTTATATGTCCTATTATTGAAGAGTCCATTATTGCCGCCAATCATTGCAGAAACCTGAAGCGCTTTAAAATGGGGCTTCTCAATATCTGGCATTCTCCACCGCGAGCTGGCTACTAGTTTCTCTCCTTGCTGGGAGCGCTCTTAATTTCCCTGCCTTGGAGTGTTCTGCAGTTTCTTCGTACTGCAGAACGTTCAGTTCAGCACCGCAGTAGCACTTTAGGGGTCAGTTTCTTGTCACTGATATTCCTCTTCAGATCATTGATTTTTCTAGTCAAATCGTCTATATAAGTAATCACTTCATCGACTGTCTGCTGGACTTCAGCAGCTCTGATTGGGTGGTGGTCTTTACAAATTGCTTGCAGGGCTGCCTCGAATTTCGTGGCATACATTAAACCTTTCAGTGCCAATGGGTTATATAAGTCCCAGTAGATAATTATAGAAGAGGGAATTACACGCATCAAAATGTATTACATAGTTGATGTCCCATAGGTTTTCAACTAGCAAATAGTCACGCCTCGGTAGTACCTCATCGGCTATGACACTGCCTCTGCGCAAAGCTTGATGTCCCATAGGTAGTGGGCAACATCCCCATTACAAAATTGTCTCGCGCATCTTCTTATAGAGGCTTAGTGAATTTGTTTATTATAAGGCGAGCATGTGCTACGTCTTTAGAGTTGTTTAGTTTCTGGTTTTTCTTTACTTATCACACATAAGTTATGAAAATAAAAATAGTGTATTTTGATTCTTTTTTTATGTGGCATCAATTTACTACTAATGGGACACATATGTCCCTTCATTCCCATCCAGTGGAACATATTTATCCCAGGACCCTGGAATCCCCCATTTTAAAATAAAATGTTTAAAATGATATTTTTCAATTCTTTGTGATAATTACCAAGAATGCATAAAAAATCAAACAGTTGAAATAAACAAATAAATTTGGACTGAAAGTGTTAAAGCTCTCTTTAGGTTCTTGACATCCGCCATTCGCAGGGCTTTCTATATGTCAGGATCCCGGATGTCATCGATAAAGTACTCAAGGGACAGGATTACCTTGTTTTAGTTGGGTAGTCCGAAAAGGGGAGATGAAACAGGCTTTCAAAATCCGTGGCAAGTTCATGGACTGTTTCCGTGGACTTCTGTCGACGGGATTTTAATTAAAGCCTGTTGTAATCTTTTAAACACTTCTCCTCAGAGCACAGCTCCAACGCGCCGGATAGAGTTTCGAAGTCTAGCTCTGGTTTTCGGGGAGAGTTTGCAGGATATCAGTTGCGTTTGGTCTCAGAGAAGCGACAAGGTGGGAGCGCTTAGCTTGGGAATCCCATCCATATGTGTCCGCCACTATAGAGAATTAAGTCTTATATACTTGCCAGAAGGTCTTTCCATCATAGATGGACAGATGTAGAGGGGTTCAAGAAGGCATGGGTAAAAATTTAAAACCTTAGAATTGCTTCTTGCTATCACTGTGAATTTCTTTGAGCTGTCAGCTTCTTTGACGACAGCTGAAACTGTCTCTTCAGTTTGTTGTTTGACAAAAGAGACTTTCTCCGATTCGTTGTTCATCATCAGAATATCTTTCTTCAGTTTCTCCAACTTTATTTTAAAAATGTCTATTCTGCCTTCCATCGCCTTGAATTGTTTTCTATTTTGGAGGTAAATTTCTCTTTCTATTTCCTGTCCGCCTGCTTCAATCTTTTCTTGAACTGATTTGACAGTTCCTTCCACCTTTCCTGAATACCTTTCATCCCTTCCTTAATGGATTGTTGTCCCGCTTACGTATCTTCTTGCCCCGCTTTCATCTCCTTTTGGCCCTTTTCATCTCTTCTTTAACAGTTGTTATCCCTTCTGTAATGCATTCTTGTCCGTCTTTTATCTCTTCTTTGAATGCAGCAAAGGGTGCCATGAGCCGTCTTAGTTGCTCTTCCATCGCTCTTGTCACCGGCATTCAACCCCGCTCTTGACACCAAAAATTGTTACTTGCGTACGGGTTTGTAATAGATTGAATGTACAAAGAACCGTTGATATCGTGATAAAATTTATTTTTACAAAAGAAACACTTAACAGTGTATCTAAACTTACTTAACAGTGCTTGCAAAAAAAAGTGCATCTAAAATGCGAAGCTCTCACGGATAGCTCAATACTCCGAATTCATCTCTGAACTAAACAATTGAGAACTGCTGCTGTCTTCGGGCTTATATAGTTTTCTCCTGGTCACCGAGAAATCTCCAGTGCCTACGTCAGGATTACATTTTCAACCCTTGAGTGTTGTGGGGTAAGGCAAAAACGGCATCGCGCGTTTTCTCCTTCTGTGCAATCTCTGCGGGTCCGAAATTCTAAAAATTTTGCCGCCTCTAAATTCTATTGGTCGGTGTCTCTCCTAAATTCTAAAAATTTCACCGTCCCTAATATTCAGTGCAACTTTAAATTCTAAAATTTTGCCGCCCCTAAATTCTGCTATCTGGCATAAATAATAAGCGAAGCCCCAATGTTGCCCTATCTGCATATCATCTTACTAGATTTAAACTGATGATCTGAAATCCGGAATCGCAGAAATCCCTACTATTTCTGATTTCGGATTCTGAATAATTTTGAAGATGAAATTTGCTTGTAAGTTTTTTGGATGTTCCTGCATAGGAATATCCCATCTAGTTCAGACACATCATTTTACAAATGAGCTAATTTGTGTAACACATCCATAAATTTAATCACTAAATAACTACAAAGCAATTTTATTGATGGCAAATGCTTTTAGCAGATTTTTGAACCATTGTGTTACTTTCGTGTGCATTTATCTTCCGTTTAGACCTACAAATAATCAGTTCTTAGAGTGCATGCAAATACTACTATTCATTGAATTAAATATAAAGTGTTACTATTCATTGAATTTATTACAGATTTAATCATTCTTTAATTGCTGAAACTGAGCGATAATAAATGTAGTAAAAGCAGTTCTTGACAATTGTAAATCTTTATCCTGTTTTATAACAACATATCCAGTTTATAATTTTATGAGCATTTGCAGCATTTTTATAAATTCACGGATGTTTCAAATGACATATATTCTACACCTGAGTGCAGAATCACTTACGGGAAAGAGGGTGGTAAAATTTATTCAGGAACCTTGAGATAGTATTTCAAAAAAGTTTAACAGACTGTGAGAAAAGTATATCATAATGAAATGCACTGTTTTCCTAAAAAATAAAGAACTGCGAAATCATACTCATTTGAGAAATTAATTCTTTTTCTCTAGCAGATGGTTTATTTTTGACTCAAAATTATTCATCTGACGATTCTTCAAGCAAGTGAGTCAAAATATTAGATTACTGAAACATTTTATTTGCGTCATTACCTGACTGTGAATTGTCAGACTAGAAACAAATTGTGATATATTCACGAAAAGTTCTTATGTTAAACTAATCCAGTTATTACGATTTTGATCTTTACTTTAACTTCTTTCCGTAGTCTTCAACAGACTGCAAATTAAATTATAATGTATTTAAAAGCTAATGTCTTTTGGATCAAGAGCTGGCACTCGCGTAGCTTTCTTTGACGCTGCTCTAGCTAATTATAATAATACTGGCTTTGCATATCTCTCGCAGTCGATTGATTTCGAGGAGGGAGGGTGCGCAGTTTGCTCCACTATCGGGGAATGAAACCCTACCTAACAAGCGGCGTCCATGTTTGTAATGTCAAAACACTGCATTACGGCAGTGTGTTCCGTGCATGTATTTTTCAGTAAAAATATGTTAAATTGGTAATGTAATGATTCGCTTTTGTTAAATGTTTGTTTTTAAGAAATGAAGATTATATCCAAAATTTACTATGTACAGAAAATTATTAAGAAATATTTCGAAATATATATGCTTGTGTATAACATTAAAAGCCTTTAAAAATGATGTTTGTGCATACTTCAAAGACTTGTTTAAGTTTTATTAGCAACCTGTTGGGTATATTTTTCAGTTTCTCCTTTAAGAAGTGATATTTCTGATTTATCATGATTTATTAAAGAATCATTTCTCATACAAATGTTTAAGAGATACGAATATTTTATTTTAGGATACTTAATACTTCAAGTAAGTATTAATCATACTAAAACTTCTTAAATTTCAATACACTAAAACAGAAATTCACATCTGAATGCTCTAAATCATCTAAAATGCTAAACAAATAGATATAAAAATAAACAGCAAATAGATTTGCCTGATACATGTCAAAAGCGACAGCTAATTAAGGGATGGTGGATTTAGATGGTTGCTCAGCTAAGTGCATCTGCAAGTTCCATTTAAAAAATTTAAATTCTATTCTAATCTAATTCTAATGCTTTTCTGATCAGAAAATTTCTGCCTGTAATTGGAAAATGTCTTTGTCTGATATTGAATGAAAAATGCAACAACAAAAAAATCATGCCCATTTTTATTAAAAATTATGACAGTACGCACAATACCACAGTACAGCTGTTCCTAATTGATTACAAAGGTATCTAAAGATGTTTATAAAAGTAAATTATATTCAATTATAGTTCAAATATACCTTTGGCCATTTAAGTGAAAAAAAAATGATGTATTAAAGACGATTAAGAAGAAAACTAGAAAAAGAGAATAAATATCCTAATAATTTTACATACAAAATAATAAACCGTCAGAAAAGTAAATTCCTTTCATTGATTTAGAAACATTTAGTAACAGTTTCTTCTTTATAAAACAGTACATAAGTATAATAAGATATTCATTATAAATATATTTATCATTTCTAGAAATTTGCAATCAAGTATTTTTTTAACTTCAGATTACTTACTGAACCTTACATACATATAAAATTTAATTTTTAAATGTAATAATCAAATGGTTAAATACGACAAGTATTTTGGCTTATCTTTTAATAATTCTAGGACATACAAAATTGACAAGTATTTCAACATATTTTGAAATGTACATTTTACACAGAAATAAATATCTATGAAAAGGTATAAATTTACATACCTTTCTGCTTTTAGATCCAATGGGATATACTATTACAGCTTATATATCCAAAAACAGAGGTATAATTGTTTCCATAAACTATATATCATAATTAAGACACAATAACACGCCGAACAAATACCAATTCAGAAGTCAAACAACAAAAATCAGCGTTATATTTTCAAATTTTCACAGGACTGGTTTCGATGTTACGGAACCACCATTTTCAGCTGCAAAAGCGCAAAGGAGCGAGATAGGGTATAATGATTAGATAAGAAAGCCTGGACAGAGCATAAGCTAGTGGCGCCATCTGTTCTAGAGGCATATCACATTCAAAAAGATCTTTCTGTTCTAGTTAAGGATCCTAATTCCAATCCATCTTTGCCGTCGGCCTTTAAAGAAATTATGTTTTAGTTCTGGTTTCATCAACAGATGGCGCCACTAACTTATTCTCTGCCCGGGCTTTCTTATCTTATCTAATCATTATATCCTATCTCGTTCATCTGCGCTTTTGCAGCTGAAGATGGTGGTTCGGTAATATAATCGAAACTAGTCCTGTGAAAATTTGAAAATATAACGCTGATTTTTGCTGTTTGACTTC